GAAAAGGAGCAGAATAAATACAGAGAAAACAGGAAAGTTAAGTAAATCACAGTAAAAGCATTACAATATATTTTAACACTAAAATATCCTGAATCATTTTACAAAAGTAATTTATTCAATAAATAAATGGACAGAGAGCACAACCCCCCTCACACCAATGTTAGACCTAAAGTTACGCCCTTGCCCCCGCCTGACATCCATGTGTCATCCGGGTCATGTGACCCAGCAATAAGAAGCAGCATAACATGGATAAAGTACACATTGTTGAAAACAACATGTATTTTAACTGTTTTCTTTCTTTTGCAAACGTCAGTAAAAGGTTAAACTATGTGAACCATGCGCGGCGCTTGGCTGATGGGGACTGGACAGGGGGGGACAGCGATGAGGGGGAAGATATGGAGAAGCAGGAAGAGGGGGAGCAACAGCAGGATGGCTGCACAGAAGAGGGGATGGAGATCGAGAGGAGGAAGTTGCCAAAGCATTACGCTAACCAGGTCAGTGTTAACCAAAAAGATGACTCTACATTCTGACCAGCAGAGGGCGCTCAGGGTCCACACTTCTGTTTTCATTTATATTCATTGAGTCTTTATTGCAGTATTAATGACAAACAGTTAGTTAGCTGAAATGTTTTTTACATTTTCTGCTCCTCAGCTCATGCTGTCAGAGTGGTTGGTGGATGTACCCTCAGAACTGGACACTGACTGGCTGATGGTGGTCTGTCCTGTTGGGAAAAGGTCTCTCATCGTTGCCTCAAAGGTACTTGTCCACTTTGTTCCATTGGTGCTCGGCTGAGTTCATATTTTGAAGTGAGGTTTTTACTTTGCACCGGAGGAGGAGTGACATTTAGCAACAAAAGTTGCCATTCAAAAATCTAAACATGTCCAGCGCAAATCTAATCACAGCTCACAGAACAGATATGTTCAAGCATTTGTAGTTGCAGTTTTTTAAGAAAATGGCTGCTTATTAATTAACTGTTAGTCAATCTATAAGATAAATCAACTTCAGATTAATTTATTAATCGATAACTTGCATCCCTAATTTATACAGGAATTAWATTAATTTATATCTACTCATTTTTATGTAATTAAGTGTTTTAATGATTTGGCCAATTAATCAATTAATCAAAAATAATCGACAGATTAATGGATTATTAAAATAATCGTTAGTTGCAGCCCTAGTAAATCTTGTGATCCACAGAGACTGGACAAGCCGGTCTTTATAACACCTGTGGTTGATGCTGTCATGGGTTCAGATTGAAGCCATTAAACAGGAAGCATACTGGTTGCCAGGTATGCTCATCTTACCTGATAATGCTTGCAGCTCCTTCAGAGTGGTCTCCGTTGTGGGGGTTTCTATCACTATTCTCCTTCTTGAACAGTCACTCAGTTTGTGAGGACGGTCTGCTGTCAGATGTACACCTGTCCCATATTCCTTGCTTTTCTCGATGGTACATTTAACAGAACACATGAGGATGTTCATGTCCTTAAAATCCTTTTGTATTCCCTGACATCAGGCTTCCACAAATACCACTGCTCAGGGCATAAAATGCAAATTCAGGCAGGTGGATGTGCCCCACTCCCTGCCCAATCAGGCTATGACATGTCACTAGTTTATATAATGGTTGTATGGTCTGTTGTGATAACTAAGTGTTTGGTTTGGTTTAGTTTAGTTTAGTTTAGTTTAGTTTAGTTTAGTTTAGTTTAGTTTATAGTTTGGTTTAGTTTAGTTTAGTTTAGTTTGGTTTGGTTTAGTTTGGTTTAGTTTAGTTTAGTTTATAGTTTGGTTTGGTTTAGTTTGGTTTAGTTTAGTTTAGTTTAGTTTATAGTTTGGTTTGGTTTAGTTTTTAGTTTAGTTTAGTTTATAGTTTAGTTTGGTTTAGTTTAGTTTAGTTTAGTTTATAGTTTGGTTTGGTTTA